TGGGAGGCAGCAGCTCACCGGGATGCCCTGGAGCTGCGGCTTGTCGAGCAGGTTGTGCAGTTCATTCTTGGAGGCCTCTATCTTCTCCTGGTCGGCGGCATCCACCATGTACCTGCAAGGGAAGGGACAGCCCTGAGCACCGGCACCGAGGTCCCTGCGCCCCGGTGCTGTGCCGGGGTCCATGCCACCACCAAACCCTGCGCACACGGTAGGCGCGTTGCCTCACCGGCTCCCAGACCAGTGCGTGGAGGTGATGGATAATGGGATCCTTCCCCCAAGGCCCCTCTTCCCCAGGAAGGCTGTGGGGCTGAGAGCCCCCCGTGTCTCCCACGGGAAGGAAGGGACCCATCCCCGCAGGGACCCAGCCCGCTGACAGCAGGGATGTGGTGGGTGAGCGGAGCCCAGGCACTGCCCGGGCAGAAGCTGCAAAACACAGCTTGTCCCCAAGTGCCCAAGCAAAACTCGTCCGTGCGTGGCAGCACCTCATGGAGACACCCAGAATAGAGGGCAAGCAGTGGAGAAGACAAGAGGAGCTCCTGATGGAGAAGAAGACATCGACTCGAGATCCTGACAGAGGGAAGGACCTGCTGGTCTTCTCTACGGGAGCAATCCTGGGCAGGGGGCACAGAGCAACGCTTGCTCTGAGCAGATGGAGGAGACTTAGGGAAGGGTTTAGCTCTTACGGGCAGACACCCGCCCTGCAAAGGACCCAAGTGAAGCCAAAACTGGGGAGAGGAACTGATCAAAGCAGCCTTTATTTTAAAGATCAAGAAGCTGGGACAGAAGTGAGAAATACCATCAGCTTCATCGGGCCTCGCGGGGTTTATTAAAACCAGGAAAAGATCCTCCAGCTACTGAAGCGCCGAGCACAGGAAGATGTGCATGGCTGTACCGAGGGGAGAGCCACCACGCGGGCACGGCCACGAGCCTTCGGAGCCGGACGGGGGGGAGGGCTGAAGGCAAGAGAAGGGACACGAGGCAGCTCGAGGTGAGGAAGGCAGCCTGGAGCATGGCCGGGATGGCCACAGGTCCTTTTGTTGCCTCTCAACCAGATGGACCACTTTGGAAAAATTATGGAAGGAGGCAGTAAAAGGAGTGAAAAAAATGGGATTTTGTCATTTCCAGCCAAGCTCACTGCAGTGTCAAGGACATGACCCGATGTGATGACCATTAGGAAGGGCAGGACCAGACACCGCTGTCCCAGCAAGCAGGACAAGCAGTCCCTCCCCGCTCCTCCCCGGCCAGACCTACAGCTGGGACGGCAGGACAGGCACCCAGCCCTCCAAACCCTCAGGGCGCCGTCGATCGGTGGGGATCACATCAATCTGATGTTCTAATTGGGTTTAAGCAACCCCGATGTGCTCTCCTAGGGTAAATCCTTGTCCCTAGGAGCAGGCAGCCTGCTCCCCAGCAGCATCTCGGCCAAGGCTCATCCCCAGCCTGGACTGCGCTTACTGCAACGTCTGCAAGCAGGGGACACTCGGGGACTTGTGGACAGTCAGCAGCGGGCGGTGCAGGGAGACTCCTTCCCTCCGCACAAGGGCAGGAATCGGGCCCCTTTACTCGGCACTGGTGAGGTTGCACCTCGAGTGCCGTGCTCAGCTCTGGGCCCCTCACTCCATGAAGGACATGGAGGGGCTGGAGCGTGTCCAGGGAAGGGCAGCGAGGCTGGGGGGGGGGCTGGAGAACAAGTCCCATGAGGAGGGGCTGAGGGAGCTGGGGCTGTTGAGGCTGGGAGGGGCTGGGGGGG